TTCGCTCGCATTTCAAGCACCGATTTGACATCAGTATATCCTATAGTCATTTCGTACTTCAAAGCATCTGTAATTTTAATTAAATTTACACAATTAAGTTAAACTATTTCTTATGTTTCTATATGCATTGCTGCTACCTACCTTTCGCAGTGACATATTTGTCAGCTGTTGAGTATCCTTTTTGACCACTTTCCGTAGTGAATTCCATCTTACAACGGTAGATTCCTCCATTGTTACATGTCGTCACATTGGCAGCAATGGTCAACACAAGCTGAGCATTAGATACGGAGTCAATAGTTCCCGTCACTGACACACTATTTGGGAAATCCCGATAGGATACTACCGATGAGCTTTTCTCTTGTATTACTCGCCCTTTTCCGGAGTCCTTAACACTACCGTTATCTTTCATTCTAAGAGAAATAAAATAGAGTTTTGTGATTCCACGAGGCCTTGGTTGGCAAGTAAGTTGGAGTTTTGTGCTTGGTATTTCCAAAGTGCTGGTTCCTGTCATCGTAACGTATTGTCTACAAACTGAAAATATTTCGAAAGAAATATCTCTATACATGTTTACATACAGTTGAAGGCTATACAAAGTTGAATGTATAATCTGTAGTCCATATCTAAAAATAGCATTGATCCCACTGACATACACCTTAAACTCTTCGTTATCAAATTTTGGAGACACTTTTTATTATTTTTTTATAATAAAAATGTTAATTCACGAATTAATTGGGTTGTTTTTCATATCCATTGAAGTTTAGAAATTCACCCTCGAAAACACTGCGTATGTTTTAGGACAGTGATCATATTCTCTTCAATTATACAAACGACACACAGAGTAAATAGCAACTTTTAATAGTTCAAGTTATCATAGATATGACTATAGATAAGGTATATACAGTAGAGTCAAGCAAATAATTCAGCTGTATCATACAGCTGTTTCGTCCTTCAAGGACTTGTCAGTGATGCTCATCATACAGCTGTTTAGCCCTTCTAGGTCTCGTCAGTGATGCAACATCATACAGCTGTTTCGTCTTTCTAGGACTCGTCAGTGATGCTACATCATACAGCTGTTTCGTCCTTGTAGGACTCGTCAGTGATACTACATCATACAGCTGTTTCGTCAGTGATGCTACATCATACAGCTGTTTTGTCAGTGATGCTAAGGCCCAAATTTTGATGGCAAAGAGGCGACTGAAGAAAATACAAAGTAATCGAAGGAAAAGTCAAAATCTAGACGGAGAGGTGCAGCATCCTAATAATTAAATACATTTCATAATTTTCATATATATATCAGATAATTATAGAACAGCATCAAGTAAATGTGTGTCTAATAATATCATATTGATGTTTGTTTATAAAATGATTAACATGTATGGGAAACTTCCAAATTTTGAAGAAAGTCAAACTGTTGTTCATATTGATAAAATTGCTAAAGATTGTTATTGTAAAGTAAGTATAACAGTGTCATATTTAAAATACATCGTAAACTGTAATGATAAAAGATTGCCAAATAGTTAGACTAAGATTATGTTTTCTCTAACTTCAATATCATTAACAAAATATTTATATGAATACAGAAAAGTATTCGGCCATTCCATGTATTTTGTCTGCTTTTTCCTCGTGTTTTATAATGAATTTAAATTAGATCAAATTAAATTTGCTTTGATTTGCTTTAAATAGTCATATTATACTGACAAATACAAGACAATAGTAATATATCACACGAGATTTGATATGTACATCTCAATGTGTATTATATTACACGAGATTTGATATGTACATCACAATGTGTATTATATCACACGAGATTTGATGTGTACATCACAATGTGTATTATACCACACGAGATTTGACAAGTACATCACAATGTGTATTATATCACACGAGATTTGATATGTACATCACAATGTGTATTATATCACACGTGATTTGATATGTACATCACAATGTGTATTATATCAGACGTGATTTGATATGTACATCACAATGTGTATTATATCACACGTGATTTGATATGTACCACACAATGTGTATTATATCAGACGTGATTTGATATGTACCACACAATGTGTATTATATCAGACGAGATTTGATATGTACATCACAATGTGTATTATATCAGACGTGATTTGATATGTACATCACAATGTGTATTATATCACACGAGATTTGATATGTACATCACAATGTGTATTATATCAGACGTGATTTGATATGTACATCACAATGTGTATTATATCAGACGTGATTTGATATGTACCACACAACGTGTATTATATCAGACGTGATTTGATATGTACATCACAATGTGTATTATATCAGACGTGATTTGATATGTACATCACAATGTGTATTATATCAGACGTGATTTGATATGTACACACAATGTGTATTATATCAGACGTGATTTGATATGTACACACAATGTGTATTATATCAGACGTGATTTGATATGTACATCACAATGTGTATTATATCAGACGTGATTTGATATGTACATCACAATGTGTATTATATCAGACGTGATTTGATATGTACCACACACCGTGTATTATATCAGACGTGATTTGATATGTACATCACAATGTGTATTATATCAGACGTGATTTGATATGTACATCACAATGTGTATTATATCAGACGTGATTTGATATGTACATCACAATGTGTATTATATCAGACGTGATTTGATATGTACCACACAATGTGTATTATATCAGACGTGATTTGATATGTACCACACAATGTGTATTATATGATTTGATACGTCACTTACCTGTGTAATCTGTGACCACTAAAATGACCAGTAAATGATATAGGTCGCGTCACCAACTCGTTTAAGAATCCCCTTAAGTACAGTCCTGGTTATTTTCACTTAAGTTTAAATAAGCGATAACCTGTGAAGTAAACGTTGTCATAAGTTTTGTTGTATTTATATTAATCAAATATCTAAGAATTATGTACATATCATCTGTTTTATTTTCTGTTGATTGTATTGAGACTGGAAAATCGTATCCAGAATTTATTATATGCTATGAACACATCTTTATCATCTGAAATATTTGCAGTTAAATGGAAATAACTAAACTGTGCATAGAACGAAATGTAAAATAGATACGTAAAGAAATCCATTAAATCGTAACATCAATGTAGTATAATGTCTTACATTGTTTAAGTTAAAGCGAACTTATTCACTATACGCTTTGCTTCATTGTTGATAAATGTGTTTTTCTTATATAGAATACAAACAATCTTTAGAGTAAGTGTTACAGAATTCCCTTCCGTTCTCCTCCCTAATATATTTTACCATCAGCTGGCAGTTTTTCTAATTCACCAAACATTCTCTTTGAGGTCTGAACCACTGGTTATAAAAGTTTCTAGTGCTGTGGAACGTATTACAACATCCGGGCCCTTCTTCCCCCAAAACCTGTCTGTGAACATTTCTACATTATCACTATCTTAGACTTTTCTCTAATATAAGAAACCATATCTAGCACTATCTGTATATCTTAACCACTGCTTGTAATATGTTTCTAGTGTTGTGGAACGTATTACAACATCCGGGTCCTTTTCCCCAAAAAACGTATCTGTATTTCTCTATAATGGATCTGATTTGTTGTTATAAACAACACACACTCACGGGACTTGCGGCTTAACAAATGATTTCTATCAACACGGGTTACTGAAGATTTTGCCCAATTGACTAAACCTAATAAAACGTGTTATCTCGTGTATTTATGGTCTGTAGATGTGGGCAATAGTTCGGAGATATATATAATGCAATAAATTTTCGCTGTTACAAAGCACCAGCAGGTTGATAGGATATATGAGAGACAATATATAACAAGGTGTTTCTTACTGATGATTTGAGCGGTGATTTATGTCGCTAACTTTTGTTGACCCGGATGTAAGTATGGAGAGTAGTATAATGTTAACCTTGTATCATCATATGGATGCCTTAACTGATCAGGAAAAAACTGATTTTAAGAAGTCGTCGCTAACCACTGCGCCTCCCTGGCACTGTTGTGGAAAGTAACTGGCGACCATTATTTTCCGGGTTGAACAGATTAACTTATTAATTTCTTAATGTATACCATTTTCACGTGTTAAGTTATTGTTTTGTCATTACATTGAGGTGATAAAATGTTTTCTGAATGTAAATGAAGTTGTCTATATACCTGCAAATGACCTAACACAAATCCCATAGGGATGTCATAGAAGATTTGCCAGAAGGACAACGTGTAATCGTACCGATATAGTTACACTGAACACTTTATAATACACAAGGTTCAAGGTTATATTGAGGCAAAATCATCACCTGGTTTAAGAATTATTCAGTTCTTTAACAATTGCGAAGCAAGCTTTTATTTTATCTTAATCTCTCTTATTGGCCCGGATGGAAACATGCAAGGGGTCTTATTTTGGGAGGAAACTGGGGCACCCGTGGAAGACCCATGTGATCGTGCAGCTGACCCTATACCTTTTCACGTTCGCTCGAGGAGTCGAACCCCTAATGAGAGTAGAGTGCGTTACCACTGCGCCACCCGAACACACGCGTTTTGTATGATGGATTGAAACAGTTGTTGAAACAGCCGAAACACGAAATAACAAACATGAGCATTGTGACCTTCCATTAGAATAGGACCAGTTGTATTTTAATATCATAATAACGATATAATGGAGGGTAATTTTAAATAATTAAAAAGAAACATCACGAGAAAGTCTACAGATGAAATGATTTCTCTTGTTACTTTGATATCAGACGTTCGGTATTCCGATCCATACATCATATAACGCAGACAACTGCTAAACAGACAACTCTGCATTTCAGTATCCTACCGAATACATATACGCTATCAATATACCTTTATTTTCAAATAATGTGATTTGGTTTCTGGCCTTTAGAGGCCACCATACAATAATTCCCTACGATCCTTCCTGGTTGAAGAGAGGATTAAGCTTGTCTTTGGATCTAAATCTGTAAACTGCTGTTAGACATGGAGGAATACACATTTCTAGTGCTGTGTATTATGGCGATAAATTCCCTCAATAGGCCGTTAACAGGTAAAGTGTTTTTGACTCACGAACGTATTCAGTATTTTAGGATAGATTTCTGCCATCAGAAAGTTTTATATTGAGTGTATTCAAGTAATGTAACTTTAACATTTTCATTTGCTATATAATATATCCATTTATGTTTTTCTATGACCCTTTAATGAATATTCGGAATTTACCGTTTTTTAATTTAGTCTGTCGGTACTTCCGTACCGTATGCCAATTTCGATGCATTGTTTAAATATGCTGTTTCTTGTTCCGAAATTAAAAAAATAGAATTGAGAAAGAATCACATTTGTTGAGCTCTCCCGAAATGCAAGGAAACCCAAGAACATTCTCTTTATTGATAAAGCAAATATCAATATGTAAAAAAACAGTATGTTAAGAGTGCAACATTAAAATATTTATTAGAGAACTGTAACATAAAATATCTTTATTGCCCTTATTTTAAGCAATCCTGTTGAGGATTCGAACATTTTCAGGTACATTACCTGATAAAATGGTTTTCTTACATAGTTGTTGCATTAATGTAACGCACTACACAATATTTCATATCTCCTTTATATTCTCGGAAAAATCATAAACTGTTGAGTTGTCTAACATAGTTTATTGGCATGTTTCAGCTTTTGGACAGTCCATCACTATAACAGGAACAAGCACAATTCTTCCGTCATCATCTGAACTGAAAATTACTTGTCAACCAAGCACAGTTGGTATAAACGATGTCAATAGTATTGCCATTATGAAAAATACCAGCACTACAGATTATACAGTACTAGTGTCTGTTTCCTATGATAAATCCTCAGGATCATCAGTATACTCGTGGGGTACAACAGGTCATCAGAACAGACAAGGGGTGACAGTGACGGGAAATGTGGACACGCTAGCTGGTGCTCAGCTCGTATTAACTATTGCAGCTAATTGGACGACATGTAACGATGGTGGAGCCTATCAATGTCAGATGGGAGTCAGTCTGATAGGTGGTAGTGGTGGGACAGCTTCTGATGATAAATATGTCACTGCTAAAGGTATGTTTTGACTTTTTAATGAACACATTAACAAGAAATGATGATAATCATTGTAGATTCAGATGAAAAATATGTCACTGGTGAATATCCCGGATTAATGAAGGTAACACGATAATGAATGAGGTGGTTTATGTTTGTTTCTGAGAATGCAGTATTTTATGTATATTTAAATGTTCTATAAAGTACTGTATAATAATGTAGCTGAATTCACTTTTAATATAAAAAAATGATACTATGAACATATAGATATTTCAAAATGAGAGGAGGATACCGGTCCGTAACTCTCTCAAAACGGTATTATGATAATACACCTGCTATAGACATCTTTTCTATAGGCCACACTTTTAAAAGATGTTTATTCTGTTAGAGATACAGAAGTTGAGTAGCTGACAATGAAATGAAAAAAAATCTTTATTTATTGCAATTAGGTAGGTTCATCCTTCAGATTTTATGGAATAAGACTCTATTAGATTATTTTCATTTTAATGGTAGATAAACTTACACCACAATACACATATAAAACACATATATCACCACATTACCTTTACTACAAGGGTCACATATACACACTTATAAACCGTATAGGTCCAGATATTGAAAGTTGTGAGGAATTTCAATTTTTGTTCTGTAAATTCCCTTATATGAATATATATATATCGCATAATCTAAATGCAATATATAATCATAAATGTCCCAAACATTTAATGTATTTTGTAATAGGAAATAGAAAAAAATATTTTGATGTAAAATCTTGTTCCTCTTAATGGCAAAATTTCTTTTAAGACTTCATTTTTAGCACAAATACATTGAAATAAGCAAAAAACATACTTAACTATGTTTGAAGTTATGATTGATTGTCTGCTGGTAGTGTGGTGAAATGACATTGTAGTTTAACCACAGCTCCGAGGATTCCGGGTAGCTATACCTGGAAGGTCTCTTACCTCTCTTTAGCCTGTGATCGGCTTTCTGTTATCGTGCGACTCCACAGCAGTACATGCATTTCTTCCCATCGATGTGTCTGTCTGACAGTTTTAGATATATGTTAATATTTTTTACTCATTTACACCACTCGATTGCGTAACATTACATTAAAAAAGTACAAGCATGGCGCAACCTGAGGCGTTTATAACATGTCGTTACCAATACTTCAATCGGCTTCACAAGTTCTGAACATAAGAACATAACATAAATACGTTGTTAAAAGAAAATAAAAAAAAAAAAAAAAAAAACACCGCTTCAAATTATGCCTGTTTACGTTCTGCATAATTTCTGATAATAATGATCGTACTAGAAGTTTTCATTTTGGAGATCGGAAACTAAATATAATTCATACAAAAATAAGGCAGAAATGTGGTTCTTTGAAACATTATTTATTTCGGGCAAGTCTAATAGAGAGCCCGGAGTGGATGCCAATATAGATTATATGCTCGATATACTTCTTTGTGGAAACCGTAACAATCCTGTAGATCTTCACTTGGGAATATTTTGAAATATACATCTGTTCATCAAAAGCAGCAATATATTTTTATTTATTTTAAAATAATGGTTAAGGTAGATTTTTACATCTAGGAATAAGGAGCGCAATCTTAGGAAACATATTTCTTGGTCCCTCTTGTCTTTTGCCATTATGTTTGTTTATTATAATTTGCGGAGAGGTCTAAAATAATGACGTATTAACTTGTGCCCAATTCGTTTGCTTGGCAATACGATCTGATTAAATCAAACTAGAAGTGGCACCAAGTATATAATACCGATATCCGTATTTATACTTCTGCTGAGCGACCATAATATTTTTCTACCTTTATTTGATATACAGATCTTATTCCATTTACTACGTTTACAAAGTTTCCCAAACGCATCCCTAGGCTTCGTCTTGTAATTAGCAAACACATTTCAAAACGCCAATGTGAAATGTAAACTCCAAAACCTAATATCAATAACGCTTTATATACTTGAAATGAAACAAATTTCTGGATTCTGGAAAGACTGACGTCAGAGAAAGGTCTGTTTACGTTAAATGGGTTTCCTGTTTCTAAAATGGAGGTATACACCTGCAGTTTTCGAGTTTTGGTTTGGTTGCTTTCGGGTTTTGGTCCTTGCAATACCTAAGTAATATTTAGTTGAATTCCGGGGATAAAAAAAAACTATCACGACTTTTTTTTTACATAACCTGGACAAGGTGGCATGACACTCCATCCAGTCACATAATATTAACACCAGGCTAACGCACCATTATCACCATCAAGTTTGTTGAAATGAAGAGCAGTAAGATTCCTGTCTTATATAATGGTGTAAGGCTATCATTTCGAGGTTCTAGGATAACTAACTTAGGTCTGTTGCTCGTTAGTTTGCCTGTTGGTTTCGTTATTGTAGGCCTTGTTCTCAATTTGAGAACGTGACCTTGCGTTCTTAGATTGACCAAGGTTTACGTGGCGGGTGCCGTCAATGAAGCAGAATACGCTTACTCTTCCTGAATACCTGGTCTTTTTCTCCTCGTGCTTTTGCAGGAGTCTCCATGTAAACTTTTTGAGATCTTGCCCTAGGTTTATTGCAGTTCAGATTATGATTACATTGGTATTTTCTTGATTTTTAGGTTCATGAGGCAAATAATGTTTGTTTATAGGATATTGTGTAAGGGCTGTAGTGTAGTAAGTTATGGTCCTATGTTACTAACATAGAACCGCTATAGCATCAAAAGATATTACCTTAATACACCTCTCTAGCAGGCCTTTGAAAGAGAAAGTAGAACATGTATTTTAATTCAATAAATTATTTTACACCTAAGAATTTTGAAGACATTCTTGCTAAAAACTGTTTTATCTTAGAAATGTCATGTTGTATTTTAGTTCCGCCAACTTATACAAACCCTCTGTTCATGACACCTTCACCCGATGTGGCCGATCAGTATTTTTCTGTGGGAATTACGCTGACACTCTCCTGTACCGGTACGGTTGGCAGTGACAAGAAAATGCACACGTGGTGTTACAAGCGAGCTGGTAGCGATGAATTCACAGTAAGTGGTGTTATAAGCGAGCAGACAGTGATAAATTCACGGTAAAAATAGTTGGGTAAAAAGTGGTGTTGCAAGCGAGTAGATCGACTATATTGTAGTTTACGTTTACTAACGCATGGGATTGAAAACGAGTATGGTAGTTCGTATTTAGTAACACGCGGTATCAGGAGTGTAAAAATGATATTATTAAAAAGATAAGCTGAAAACAACGCAACTCTCTGAATACAAACGCTACAACGGCTTGAATGACTATTTACGTACATCAAGGAAATAGAGGACCATCACTGGCTTCAGATACCAACCCCAGAGTTTTACAATCTTGCTAGATTTTATGACCTGCGAAAACACTTCCTATATGAAAACGATACTGCAATAACGATCCCTCAGTATATGCAATACACTTACCATCACTGAAGTGTCGGATTTTCTTGAATGTTTGACAGAATGTGACATATAAAGAAAATAATATTTTCGTCATCAAAGTCATGATACATGTACAGTAATAATTTTCTTTAGTTGTTTTCTTTTTCAAAATTCTAATTTACATTATGTACAACAAAACTTTATATATACATGGTAACAAACTTATTCTCTCTTATATGTACTACATAGTGACACACATACATCGGTCCTTACTTAAAGTACTACAAAACCAGTACAACATAACAGTATTTATTTCAATTCCTTATCTCATTTTCTTTTGAATTGAACTTATAAGAATCTCATTAATTATATGACGCACATGTACACGTGAAAAAAATGCTACGGAAATCAACTTTTTTTTCAAATTCGAAAATGAAATTCATAAAAAAATGGACGTAACGATAAAAATATCAAAACGTTCTTATTCTACCCATTTCCTTGTGGTACAATCCTGGGTAACATACGTATTCCAAAATGTTAAATATCTTCAGGTCTTTCCGAAAGGAGAATACATTGATCAGGGTGAGGATGGTTTGATCCAAGATGGCTGTAACTACAGACGTAACAGTACACTTACATACAACGTCACTTCCGCCGATACCAACACCACGTTCATGTGTGAACCTTTCAGTGGAAGTATATGTGGCTCAAGCGCAGCAGAACTGAAGTCTTTTCATTCCATCAGAAACTGTAAGTATTCAATTATTGACATACACGTTGGACTTACAAATAATCGTCAGAATATTCGCATTTTCCCGATTGCTTTTCAAACAGAGTCGAACCTTATTATCTAAATGTCGGACCATGGAAAATTCGATTTAAGTAAATTCGAATGTTTCGTATGAAATTTGATCGAGACCGACGGAATAATTCGAATTAAACAAAGCCTTCGAGTTATGAGTTCGAGATAACGAGGTTCGAATCTGTTTACTCTGATTAGATGTACAACACAAATTCATTTGATTTTTTTAAAAGAAATATACTCAGATAGATTTATTTTAACTTTGTTTAACGTTTTGTCCATATTTCCTTCCGTGTCTTAAATAGTATGTATGGATGAGGCAAAAGTAAATTAACCAAGCTTATTAATAGTATGTATGGATGAGGCAAAAGTAAATTAACCAAGCTAATTAATAGTATGTATGGATGAGGCAAAATTAAATTAACCAAGCTTATTACAAGTATGTATGGATGAGGCAAAAGTGAATTAACCAAGCTAATTAATAGTATGGTATGTGCCGAAATGTGCACATGTATAAATCTAAATTCTTGTTCTAATCCGAAGCTGTTAAATCATCTGCTAATATTCAGGATTCAAATATTACATTGTCTCCTATTTCGTTTGGAAGGCTAAACTTCATTTGCATGTCTTATTGAGTTCCTGTATTGTTCTGTAGTTACTTCAGAAGAGACTTGCATTTAGTATACTGTAAAAGTTGATATTTTGAGGAGTTTTATATTCAGCGAGGAAATAAAATGGCCCAGACTAGGTACATTGAAAAATATTGGAAACTATTGTCAATTTAAGGACTCCGTGAAATATAGGTATTTCTTCGTTCGGTAATTTTGAAATCAGTTTTACAATTAGAAAAGAAGTGATTTTTAAATTCGGTCAGCAATGTCGGTGAAGTGCCATGTTGTCTGCCAAACTAGATGGTAGTCTGCCAATGTAATAATATTGTTTCAGAATAAATAATCTAGTTTGGCAACACTGTGTTAACAGTTTTATTAGCATCTGTCCCATTAAACTTTCCGTGTAGAAGTTTAGACACATTTTTAGACTACAGTACTTTGGAACACTGGCAGCGAGTTTTCAGGTAAGTTCAGGTAAGTTCAGGCAAGTTCAGGTAAGTTCAGGTAAGTTCAGGCAAGTTCAGGCAAATCCATGGAAATTCAAGGCAAATTAAATGTCATGCATTACTGATTGTGATTTTATACTGATTCGGTCTTCATTGTTAAAATATTTGTATGTAATGAAACGAAATTGTCTACAGTATTGTTGATATTCCTTGCGGTTAACCTTGCTTAGAAAGGAGATCTTTTATTTTCAGATAAAATGTTTTCTTCATTTCTTTAAATTAAAACGATATATAAATTACGTACAACTTTCGTTCTAATTGTTATAGTGCCTATTTTATTCACAACAATACCATTAAATTATCATCTTAAAGATTTTGAAAAATTAAATTGAACCAAAAATGTTTTACAATACGTAAACAAATCAAGATATGTAAATGAATAGATGTTCACTATAAATCTTATACGAAATGCAATCTTTAATTTGATTGTTTGGTTGTAGTATTCATTATTGATTACAGAAAAAAGTTTTTTTAGATGAAAGGGGAAAGTTTCATACCGGTTCAGATGGAGAATGACTACAGTCCAGGTATGGTTTTGTTAATGTGGAATACCATGTAAGTCTATCTATATCCAATCTTTCATGATGAGATTTGAATTGAAAAGTCCGAACAGTGCATTGTTATGATTTGACTGTGAAGATGTTTTCCAGAGAAAATGATTTCCTTTGCATAAGTACCAAAACAATGACAGTCAGGTATATGTCGGAAACAGGAGAAGAATGTGGAACATGGTGAAGTCAGTGTGAATGAAATTACAAGAATGTGAGAAAATAACATTTTGTTCTATACGAAAATTTAATTGAATAAATTATTGCCGGTCTGAACTCAATTTACTGACCGAATGTCTGTTTCTCTGCTACTCGCCTCTTTGGTTATAACAGTTAAAGCCATTGACATCACTGGCAAGCTCTAGAAGGGCGAAACAGCTGTATGATGTAGTAAATTATTAGATTCTAGTGTCACCGACGAGTCCTAGAAGGACGAAACAGCTGTATGATGTAGCATCACTGACGAGTTCTAGAAGGACGAAACAGCTGGATGGAGTACCATCACTGACGAGTTCTAGAAGGACGAAACAGCTGTATGATGTAGCATCACTGACGAGTCCTAGAAGGACGAAACAGCTGGATGGAGTACCATCACTGACGAGTACTAGAAGGACAAAACAGCTGTATGATGTAGCATCACTGACGAGTTCTAGAAGGACGAACCAGCTGTATGATGTAGCATCACTGACGAGTCATAAAAGGACAAACAGCTGTATGATGTAGCATCACTGACGAGTCCTAAAAGGACAAACAGCTGTATGATGTAGCATCACTGACGAGTCCTAGAAGGACGAAACAGCTGGATGGAGTACCATCACTGACGAGTTCTAGAAGGACGAAACAGCTGTATGATGTAGCATCACTGACGAGTTCTAGAAGGACGAAACAGCTGTATGATGTAGCATCACTGACGAGTCCTAGAAGGACAAACAGCTGTATGATGTAGCATCACTGACGAGTCCTAGAAGGACGAAACATCTGTATGATGTAGCATCACTGACGGGTTCTAGAAGGACGAAACAGCTGTATGATGTACCATCACTGATGAGTCCTAGAAGGACAAACATCTGTATGATGTAGCATCACTGACGAGTTCTAGAAGGACGAAACAGCTGTATGATGTAGCATCAATGACGGGTCCTAGAAGGACAAACAGCTATATGATGTAGCATCACTGACGAGTCCTAGAAGGACAAACAGCTGTATGTTGTAGCATCACTGACGAGCCCTAGAAGGACGAAACAGCTGTATGATGTAGCATCACTGACGAGTCCTAGAAGGACAAACAGCTGTATGATGTAGCATCACTGACGAGTCCTAGAAGGACAAACAGCTGTATGATGTAGCATCACTGACGAGTCCTAGAAGGACAAACAGCTGTATGATGTAGCATCACTGACGAGTCCTAGAAGGACAAACAGCTGTATGATGTAGCATCACTGACGGGTCCTAGAAGGACAAACAGCTGTATGATGTAGCATCACTGACGGGTCCTAGAAGGACGAAACATCTGTATGATGTAGCATCACTGACGAGTCCTAGAAGGACAAACAGCTGAATGATGTAGCATCACTAACAAGTCCTAGAAGGACAAACAGCTGTATGATGTAGCATCACTGACGAGCCCTAGAAGGACGAAACAGCTGTATGATGTAGCATCACTGACGAGTCCTAGAAGGACAAACATCTGTATGATGTAGCATCACTGACGAGTCCTAGAAGGACGAAACAGCTGTATGATGTAGCGTCACTGACGAGTCCTAGAAGGACAAACATCTGTATGATGTAGCATCACTGACGAGCCCTAGACGGACGAAACAGCTGTATGATGTAGCATCACTGACGAGTCCTAGAAGGACAAACATCTGTATGATGTAGCATCACTGACGAGTCCTAGAAAGACAAACATCTGTATGATGTAGCATCACTGACGGGTCCTAGAAGGACGAAACAGCTGTATGATGTAGCATCACTGACGAGTCCTAGAAGGACAAACATCTGTATGATGTAGCATCACTGACGAGTCCTAGAAGACAAACATCTGTATGATGTAGCATCACTGACGAGTCCTAGAAGGACAAACAGCTGTATGATGTAGCATCACTGACGAGTCCTGGAAAGACAAACATCTGTATGATGTAGCATCACTGACGAGTCCTGGAAAGACAAACCATCTGTATGATGTAGCATCACTGACGAGTCCTGGAAAGACAAACATCTGTATGATGTAGCATCATTGACGAGTCCTAGAAGGACAAACAGCTGTATGATGTAGCATCACTGACGAGTCCTAGAAGGACAAACAGCTGTATGATGTAGCATCACTGACGAGTTCTAGAAGGACAAACAACTGTATGATGTAGCATCACTGACGGGTCCTAAAAGGACGAAACAGCTGTATAATGTAGCATCACTGACGGGTCCTAGAAGGACGAAACATCTGTATGATGTAGCATCACTGACGAGTCCTAGAAGGACAAACAGCTGTATGATGTAGCATCAGAAACGAGCCCTAGAAGGACGAAACAGCTGTATGATGTAGCATCACTGACGAGTCCTGGAAAGACAAACATCTGTATGATGTAGCATCACTGACGAGTCCTAGAAGGACAAACAGCTGTATGATGTAGCATCACTGACGAGTCCTAGAAGGACAAACAGCTGTATGATGTAGCATCACTGACGAGTTCTAGAAGGACAAACAACTGTATGATGTAACATCACTGACGAGTCCTAAAAGGACGAAACAGCTGTATAATGTAGCATCACTGACGGGTCCTAGAAGGACGAAACATCTGTATGATGTAGCATCACTGACGAGTCCTAGAAGGACAAACAGCTGTATGATGTAGCATCACTAACAAGTCCTAGAAGGACAAACATCTGTATGATGTAGCATCACTGACGAGTCCTAGAAGGACAAACATCTGTATGATGTAGCATCACTGACGAGTCCTAGAATCACAAACAGCTGTATGATGTAGCATCACTGACGAGTCCTAGAAGGACAAACAGCTGTATGATGTAGCATCACTGACGAGCCCTAGACGGACGAAACAGCTGTATGATGTAGCATCACTGACGAGTCCTAGAAGGACAAACATCTGTATGATGTAGCATCACTGACGAGTCCTAGAAAGACAAACATCTGTATGATGTAGCATCACTAACAAGTCCTAGAAGGACAAACATCTTTATGATGTAGCATCACTGACGAGCCCTAGAAGGACGAAACAGCTGTATGATGTAGTATCACTGACGAGTCCTAGAAGGACAAACATCTGTATGATGTAGCATCACTGACGAGTCCTAGAAGGACGAAACAGCTGTATGATGTAGCGTCACTGACGAGTCCTAGAAGGACAAACATCTGTATGATGTAGCATC